TTGTGACGGTGACTGAAATGATTCAGTCTCTCCTTTCATTTCTTTCCACCCCTTGGTAACTTGAGTACTTTAAGTGTGTCTAAGGGTAGTATTCAGGCATCTCCTTTAAGAGCTGTTGAAAAATGTGTGTTCCTTCAGTCTATTACATAGTTTAGCAAGATATTTTAGCAACTCTGGAATGAGTTCCATGCTTCAGACCCAACTTCATAAACTATTATTCTTTAATTTTAATGGACAACCAACTTTTAAAAAATGGAGTATGGGGGGGCCCCGAAACAAAGCAGAATTATCTTTTGGAGGGTGGGCCCCTTTTGTAGTACAGTATTCGCCCACTAAGTGTTCTAGGAACCCATGGGTATCAGTGGACCAGCTAGGGTTGTTGTGAGAGGCTGAGTTTAGCTTCAGTTAATTTTTTTTGGAGATTATTTCCATGTGTTTGCCTAATTCTTGGTGAGTGATTTACGAGTGCACCTGCCCACACTGCACTGAGTGTTCAGAAGTTTGACTCAGAAAAACGACATGACCCCTGTGCCCCACCCTCGTTATTTACCCGATCTTGGCCCTGAGTGGCTCTTTTTTTATTTCCCTGGACAAAAAAAATCCTCAAAGGAAACATTTTGCTGATATGGAAGAGGTAAAACAAAAAATGGCAGAAGTATTAAAGGATTTACATTTGACAAGCTCAAAAACTGTTTTAAACAATGGAAAAAGTGTCTTGATAGGTGTATTATATCAACTGAAGAGTACTTTGAAGGTTACTGAAGTTTAAGCATGTAAGAATAAATACACAATTTTTTATAAATAAATTCCATTCTTTTGGGTCCCCCCTTGTATATGGTTTCTAACCAATGTTTTTTTTTTTTTTCTTTTTTTTTTTTTTTTAGTTATGCTTTTTTTTTTTCTGGAAGTACATTAGTGAATATTAAAGGATTACAATGTTCTAATACATGTTTAAAATAAGAAGTCTGCCTGTAATCATTTAGGGAACCATTTCCCATGGTTCATTAAAATAGAAAGGAGGATAAGTAAATTAGAATTAAAATCTATTTTTATTTATGTTGTTAGTATTCTCCTCTTTATGGGATGTATATACTTTCATGAAAGAAACATTGCATCTAGCTTAAGTAATTCTAGGAAATTGAAAATTCAGAGAGGAAAAAGGAATAATCATCTTGTCTGGACATTATATTTATGAGATAAAAAATGGTGAGAGCCATTTAAGAGAGGATACCCTGCACTGAGTGGACCAGCCATCCAAGATTGTAAACAAGGGAAATCAAGATTAAGAAAGAAGATTCATGGGTTAAAGTATTTATTAGATCCTATGTGTTCTGGTAAATGGTTTTTCTAAATTAGGGATGATGTCTTGTTCATGGGTCTGTTTCGGGAAGCTCTTGCAGTACCTGGAAAGGAACTCAGTAGGTGCTTCCTAGGTGTGAAATGAAGTCAGTTTCCCAGGGGTGATGAAGCCCTGGATTGCCAGAAAGAGAGATAAACCCAAAGGAGTCCAAGATGAGATGAAAACAGCTGAGTAACTGTATATTAAGGAAAGGATGTTAAAATGGAAGGGGGGTCCATTTTCTTATTTATTTTTTGAGTCAGAGTCTCACTCTGTCATCTAGGCTGGAGTGCAGTGGCACACCCACAGCCACTGCAGCCTTAACCTGCTGGGCTCAGGCAATCCTTCCGCCTCAGCCTTCCAAGTAGCCAGAACTACAGGCATGCACTCCCATGCCCGGCTAATTTTTAAATTTATTTTATAGATGAGTTCTTGCCAAGTTGCCCAGGCTACTCTTGAATCCCTGGGCTCAGGCAGTCCTCTCACCTCTGCCTCCCAAAGTACTGGAATTACAGACTTGCCACTGTGCCTGACCTGGGTGGTCCATTTTCAAGGGTGTGCTTGTGATCCTCTTGCAGGTACATGATAGGAGAGCAGTTCTTGGGGTGCATTAAAGCAGCAGTAAGTTAGCCTGTGATATTCCTCTGATAAAATTAAATAACAGTTCTTTCCCAGTATCCATTAAAAATGAAATAATCGGTGGAATATTCCTCATGTTCATGCTTTTTCCTTAAGTCTTTGGCGCTTGCTGTTTTGGGTCAGTACTAAAAACGAACATACAATGATCTCTACAAAAGTACAGTTACAATGATTAAGTTTAATGAGTCAGTGCTTGACTGAGTTCCACAAAGAGCTCTGTGGCCTCCCCTGGCTCCCCTAACAAGTTTGGGAACTGCTGTTCTCCAGTGTTAATGAAACAGAGCTCCCAGGGGACCAGTGAAGAGAAGGCTTCATGGAGTTCCTGACAACAAGTCTAGGAATTGTGTCTTGTAAAAGACAGTTATTATGTTGCTCTAGTCCATTCCCTGGAGGGCTGGTAGCTTATCTAACACTGTTATCTATTCAGTGTGGAAGAATCCCATTGCTTTACTTAACTCACCTTACTAGCCTTTTGAAAGGAGCCATCCAGGGGGAAGTTTCTGGTAAGTGGAATTGTGTAACACTAGCAGGTAGACAGCCAGATGCTGGTTGACAGCGGGGAGGAAGGCTGGCGGTTTGTTTTCTTTTGTGACAATGTCCCTGACTAGTTTTTTAGAATTTGTTTCCACCTAAAAGCATTCTCTTTAACGAGATCATCTGAAGTATTTGGTTCTTTTGAGCTGATCAGGTAGTTACATGAGTAATAAAGATTTTCAGTTCTGGTCTGCTATAGGGATTTTTTAAAAAGTCTCCCTGTTCAGAGAAAAAAAATTATCATGGTGATTTATCTTCATGGAGTCTGGTGCATATGCAAGTTTTAATTTGTTCAGTATTTCAATAAGTGAATATATTACACAGGTTCAGGCCTAGGAAGGGATGATTGAGAGTGTGGATAAACTATACCAGAAGGGTAGGAATTAAAAATGGACGAACTAGCCAGGCACGATGGCTCAACCTGTAATCCCAGCACTTTGGGAGGCCAAGGCGAGAGGATTGCCTGAGCCCAGGGGTTCAAGACCAACCTGGGGAACTTGGTGAGACCTCGTCTATACAATAAATCACAAAAATTAGCCATGCATGCTGGCATGCATCTATAGTTCCAGCTACTTGGAGTGCTGAGGTGGAAGGATTGCCTAAGCTCAGCAGGTTGAGGCTATGGTGGCCGTGAACGTGCCTTGGCCCTCCAGCCTGGGCAACAAGAGTGAGACTCCCATTCAAAAAAAACAAGAATGAACTACCTTCTACAGTTTACTTTCTTTGAAGCAAATTGCAAGTTTTTAGCAGAGTATCAGTTGGATAAAGAGTTGATATGTTTTATTTCAGTTTAATTAGAAGATAAATAGTGTGGGGCGTGTGTGGAGTGGGGACGGGACAGAACGGAAATTTTCTTTTAAGCCTGGAGTTGGTAGAAGATTCAGATGCTGAAATTGATGACTGGCAGAGCATGTTTCATAATAAATATCGCAAATTATTTTAAGATATGGAGGCAGCAGGCTAAAAACTGGGATCTCAAAAGACAGCAAGCCTTAGAATAGAGGAGTAAAGAGGTCTTACTTTATTTTTATTTATTATTATTATTTTGAGTTGGAGTCCCACTCAGGCTGAAGTGCAGGGGCACGATCATGGCTCAGCACAGCCTCAACCTCCTGGGCAGGAGATCCTTCTGCCTCAGTCCCCAAGTAACCAGGACTACAGGTACATGCTACCATACCTGGCTTTTTTTTTTTTTTAAGAGATGGGGTCTCACTATGTTTTCCAGTCTGGTCTCAAACTCCTGGTCTCCTCTCACCTTAGCCTTCCAGGATGCTGGGATTACAGGTGTGAGCTACTGTGTCCAACTGTAAAGAGATTTTAAACACAGATTGGAAGTTCAATAAATGTTAGTTTTCTGTTATTTTTCTATAATACAATAGGAAATGATAATAGTTCTCTATGGTACTTAAGCCTATGTGGGTGATGGTACTGCTTCTAGGGTTGTTAGGGAGGAAAAATTAGCTCCTGTAATTCAGATCAGCAAATACTGATTAAATTGATATAGATACATAAATATCTAAATCAAGGAATAGAAAAATAAATATCTTTGTGCAAAGTTGTGCAAACTGTGATGTTGTAACAGCAAAGCAGTATAAGCTGCCAGTACTCCCTCAAGGAGCTTAGGTTCTTTGGGGTAAATGCACACACAGAAAAACAGCCACCATGCAGAGTGCCCAGATGCTGCCATGTGAACTGTACTGAAAACAGAGCTCTAAGGACGGACAGCCCCCAGCAGGAGGAGCTTCACTCAGGAGATGGCTGTAGGAACCTGGACTTTGGAGTCCGGTGTGATTGGGGAAGCATTCAGGAAGATGGAGTGCTTTTAATGTGGAGACTGGTGTGGCCAGAGGCAGGGATATGAGTGGCAGTTTCCTCTGATGAGTACTCTTGCTCAGTTGAAGAAGGCTTGTGGAGAGGTAGAAAGAGGATACTTGAAATCTCTTGGAGGTAGCCTGTGGCGAGCCCAAGGTGATTGCGTTGAATCAGGTAAGCAGCAAGGACCCACTATAAGTCAAAGGGATGATTTAGGGAGATTTGCCTAGTTGAGGTTGGCAGACAGCCTGAAGGAGGCATGACAAGAGGACAGGGAGATCCTTTGAGAAGCTGAAGGAAGAGGTTCAGCGTATAGTGATGAAGGCCTGAGTCAGGGTGGGGAAAAGGCAAGGAGAAATGGAATCCAAATCACATTAAGAATAAAGTGGCAAGTGCAACAAAATCCCAACCATTCTATTGTACTTTTGTTGCTGTACTCCCTAGGGTAGGAGCTGTCCCAGTGGAATATCCGGTCCTATTGGTGTGATTGTTGCCCTGATACTCACACTGAATAAGAATAAGGGCGCTCTTCACATGTGGCCCATGACTTGAGGCTGAAGCTCATTTCTTAGCATGGTCAATTCCCAGGCCTGACACTGTTGTTATGGCTTGCTCTTTTGGCATAAAGTTTTTTGTTTGGTTCTAACTTGTGTTTCTTTATTTTTAAACAGACTCTTTCGAGAAGAATCTCCAATCCATATCTTGAACATACTCCTTCCCAGGTATGATTCTTTTCTCTCTTACTGCATTTTCTGTAACAACAATGGACAAATTTTGGTGTAGAATTCTTGAGTTAGAACTGTTCCCTTTGCTCCTGACCACACAGAGTTTTGCAGGGAGGCTGCAGTGACCACATCATCTTCTCCACCAAGGAAGACACAACAAAGGTGTTTGAGATGCTCTGATCATTGTATTCAAGGTGTTCATTAGATATGAAAATCATTTTCACATATTCCAAGTCCTTTGCATGAAATTATCAATGTGACAGAGCAAATATATAATGTAAACATAAGCATTTATACTTACAATACAAATATATCTATCGATAAAAACACTGTATTTTACAAATAGTGTTTATTTTACACTGAATTTTGTGTAAAAGGAGATTTATATTCATAGCGATCTATCATTGTATTGCAGTAAGAATCAGTCGACAAAGAATTGCATTTTTTTAGGCTAACAGAAGACTGTGGGCTCTGCAAGGGTTGGGACCTTCTCTAGTTGTTTGCCACTGTAACCCCAGCATCTGGAACAGCCCTGACACTTGACAGCTGCTCAAGAAATGCTTTCTGAATGACTGAGTGGATGAACATTGTACCATGTCAGGGCCAGTCAAGTTTCAGCTGACCCATACCTTTTCCTTGGTAATATTTTCTGCCATTTGGCTTGTTCAGCCTTTTTCTTTTTCTTTTTTTTTTTTTTGAGTTGGAGTCTCACTCCGTCACCCAGGCTGGAGTGCAGTGGCATGCTCATGGCCACCCCAGTGTCGACTTGCTGGGCTCCGGCGATCTTTCTACCTCAGCCTTCCAAGTAGCCAGAACTACATTGCCCAGGCTGCTCTCGTACCTGTGGGCTCAGGCAATCCACTCGCTTCAGTCTCCCAAAGTGCTGGGATTACAGGCTGAGCCACCAGCCTTTCCTTTTTAAAAATAGTTTTAATGTGTTAAAAATAATATCCTGCCCTTTTGTTTATCAGGTTGTGTTTAGGAGATGATTTCAAGAAAATTAAAGAAGTGTAAGGGTGGGATTGACGTTTTCCCTGACAAGGGATAACCAATATATTATCAAATTGTTTGCTTTGAGAAAAGATATATTTTGTAGGTGTAGAAAGAGTTCACCAAGAATAAAAGTAAAAAGATGTAAGCACGTATCCTCAAAATATATTAATTTTCATGAACCTTGACCTTATTTTGCTTTCTTTGCTTGTGAAGCAGCGCTGCACTGTGGAGGAGGATGCTAATTCTAGAGAGATGGGGGTGGGGAGGTGTTATTGTAAAGTAGGACCTAGGCTCTCTAGATCTAAGGAGTACCCTCTTCATCCTCCAAGAATCAGAGATGCATAAGGGGGAATCAGAAGATTAAAAAAAGAAGTTAAATGATATTTGTATCTGATGAATGGGATTGTGTAGTAGATGAAACCAGGACGCTTGGCGTTGACTATGCAGGCTGCTGTCAAATTGTGTCACGGTTCAAGATGTTTACTAGATAGAAAAAACATTTTTCCATCTTTCAAGACCTTTCTATGATTGCATTATCAGTATGGCAGAGTTGATATAAATATTCTTCAATTGCTTATTGATATAAACACTGGCTTTAAAAAATTGGGGATGTTTTACACAGAAAATTTTGTGTGAAAGGAGGTTCTTTGTAATTGTAGTTAAATGAAGCAGTTTAACATTTGGAAAATAGTTGTTATAGTTTAATAGCATAAGTGGACCCGTAGCTAAAATACAATAAAATAAGGTAGTTAATAGGTCTATAGTTATATAGGCTCAAGTTTAGGGACTTGGTCATGATTTTAAAAATATAGTATGCTCTTGGTAGCTCACAAATTGTCATGTGTTCTGTACTTACAGTGAATGTTTGTCTTTTCCATTTAGATCTATGGAGAGAATTCCTCTTGTGCAGGAAGAGCACTGAGGAATATTATTATCGTTCAGGCAGCTGACCTGATAAAGGACAGAGTGAACCTAAAAGGCTTTTATAGGTAACACAGTTTTCTAATACCTTGTCGGAAATTTTCTTTGCGGAGGAGAAAGCCCAACTTGTGCTAAAATTGTAACCTTGATCAAAGAGAAGTGAACTATCTTGGTGATGGGAGGGGTTCATTCATTCTGTCTGTTGGGGAAACTAGTAGTGACTTTTTGTTAAATGTAGCATACATTGGCTTACAGTTAGGCTCCTGGTTCTGCAGTTAGGCTATGGAATTCCCAGCCACAAGTCTGAATGGGTTCCTGAGAGAGTCTCTGTTCTGCTTCCTCTGAAATGTGATATTTGGTAATATTTTGGGGTGTGTACTGCACCAGGGACTTCAGTAAATATAGGTCCCCTTTTTAGGGGCCTTATCATGGTGCTGCAAGGATACCTTGGTGGCCCATTGGCAGAGAAAAGTGCTCTAATTCTCCAGGTGAAAGCAAGCCACCTCCTTGGGCACATAAGGAGTAAGCAGAGGCAATTTGGCATGGGGAGGGCAGTTGTCTGCCTTGGCTGGCAAATAGGGGCAGAGGTATGAGAATACATGGGTGGATTTGTGGCTGGTTGTAAAGGGCAGCCAGACCAAGAGTGTGGTTACTCAGAAAGCATGGTGCTTATGTTTTCATTTTATGGAACAATTTCAAGAAAAAGCCAAAAGTGAATTAACTTTTTATTTTGCCAAGTAAAAGATAATAAGACATACCAAATGATACCGAAAGAAAACGACAAAAGAAAACAAAAAGAAAAAAAAAGTTACCATTTGTTATCATTGTTTTTTCTTAAGTAAATGACATTATAATACCATAAGGAGTAGGAAGATACTGAGAATACATGACATCAAAAAAGGAGGAACTATGTACACAATAAAGAATATTCCTTTATGTTACATAAATTTAGCTTTGTGATAAACTCATTATGATATTTTTGGTTTTTTCATTTGCCGCAGATGGAAGAAATTTCATCATGGCCTGTATTTTGGGGATAGTGATTCCCTGATTATTGGAATAAGACCCCATTGTGTTGAGGCATAATTTATGTATAGTAAAATGTATAAATCTTAAATGTACAGCTTGATTAATTTGTATTTGTTAAACATGTAAGTAATCTATGTAAGTTATCTATGTAACTATTGTCGAGACACAGAGGATTTTCATACTCCAGAAAGTTCCTTCATGCTTTAGTCAGTAACCATTCCTTGCAACCATCTACTTTTTTAACATCAAAAACTTGGCAAAGGTGAAGCATGGTGGCTCCCACCGGTAATCCCAGCACTTTGGGAGGCCAAGGTGGGAGGATTACTTGATCCCAGGAGACCAGCCTAGGCAACATAGCAAGACCTTTGTTTCTACAAAAAAAAATATCAAAAAATTAGCCAGGAGTTGGTAGCATGTGCCTGTAGTCCCAGCTACTCTGGAGGCTGAGGTGGAAGGATCGGCCAAGCCCTGGAGGTCATGCCACTGTACTGCAGCCTGGGCAACAGAGTGAGATGCCAGCTCAAAAAATTAAAAAACAAAACAGCAACAAAAAACTTGACAGAATCTGTATTCTTATGAGCCATTAATTAAGCAAATAGAAAGTGTGGGGAGGAAACACAATGAATTAACACTTTAATCACATTAGCATTTACATTTACATAGGTTTTGAAAAATGTTGGCTGGGTGTGGTGGCTCAAGCCCGTAATCCCAGCACTTTGGGAGGCCGAGGTGAGGGAATTGCCTGAGTCCATGGGGTTGAGACCAGTCTGGACAATTTGGTAAGACCTCATCTCTACAATAAATCAAAAAATTAACTGGGGGTGGTAGCATGCACCTGTAGTTCTGGCTACTTGAAAGGCTGAGGTGGAAGGATCGCCTGAGCCCAGCAGATAGAGGCTACGGTGGCAGTAAGCGTGCCACTGCACTCCAGCCTGGGTGATGGAGTGAGACTCCAACTCAAAAAAAAATAATAATAATAAAAATAAGCCATAGGCTAAACTTACCTATTCTGTTTACAAACAATGCTTTTGTCAATGCTTTTGTGTGTGTGTATTTTTGAAGCTTTTAGAAAAGCTCGAAGATCTACCCTTTTCTTACCAATATGGATTTATAGCTTAAAGTCTGAGAATGACTAGTTGAGATCCCAGGCCAAGTAGACAGGACAGGGAGTTAAAGGTCTGTGGTCACTGGACTCCGTCACATAGAATCTCATTTTTTAAAAAACAGATGATGGTATCACCTTTAGACACACATTTGACTTTTCTTTCTTTAAACTGAAATTTTATGTGGAAGTCTTTGGGTCCAGTTGTGTGTTAAGTGCATAGAATTCCTTTTAATTACTACATAAAGCCATATCTATCATTCTCATTTTCTTTTATTTACTGGATCTCCATGGATATAGGTTGAACAAGGAATTGGAAGATGTACATTAATCAGGTTCATGGAAGAAAGGCCATCCATCCAAGTTAGAACAGATTTAAAATTTTGTGGGAGCAGAATGGGGAGAGATCATGTGTTTTGCTGTGATCGGGCCATGATTACCTTTCTTTGATCATCTAAGGACTTAGTAGTGTCCTGGGTCTAAACCCAAAGTGCTCATATGATTGCAGAGGGTGGATTATTATTTGTCTGATAGTAAATTGAGGTAAAGTGTTCCCCGTGCACCACATGAGAATTCACTTTCAAGACTTTGAAATGTTTTCTATTCATTTTGTGCTTTAGGAAGAATCATGCTGGCTTCTGAGATAATTATTTCCTTTGCTCAAATAAGTCACTAAATGCCATCACTCCATTTATATTTGAGATTAGTGTCTGCTCTACAATTAATTCATTGCTAAAATTGTAACTAGAGACGAAAGGCCAACAGAAACCAAACTTTCAACTCCAGAGATTGGTTACATTCATGTTTTGTGAAGTGATTGCATGGCTGTGCAGCTGGTCGCCTCCATATCACAATGTTCCTACCTAGTATTGCAACTGTAGTTAGATCTGTGTGTACTTGGAACAGTTTCTGAATTGAGTACAAGACCGCAAATACACTGCAGATAAGAACTGCTGTCTGTATTTAGATTGTTCTGTTCCAATCATTTTGTTTTCTTCTTCGCTGCTGTCCCCTAAGTCCTGTGGACTTTAACCAGATTGTGGCAAACCCGGTCAGCAAGTCAGGTGACAAGGAGTTAAATGCAGAGACAACAAACTCATTTTGTCTGCTTTGGTGATATTATTTGAGAGTGTTTCCCCTTGTCCCTAATGTTTGCCCTGGTGCAGATGGATCGTTGAAAGGGATCTGAAATATAATCTGAAAGAGTTGGAGGCACTGAAACAGTAGCTTGCTTTGAGAGCGGGGCCCAGTTTTTAATTAATGTTGTCAATGGCAATACTGTGTTTTAGCCTACTGAGAGCCCTGCCCCCCAAAACAGAGTGAGTCCAGAATGACAAGGGAGAGCTGGGGGACTGGGGTTTTGTGGTCACCAGCATTGCCCGAGAGCCTGTTGTTTGGAATGGGACTCTTAGGTCCCACCCAGCTTCCTGCATCAGAGTCTATACTTTAACAAGATCTCCTAGATGACTCCTAAGTACAATTTTGAGAAACCCTGGATTAAGAAGCTTCTTCCCCATCACCTGTGGACAAGCAAGCAGATGTATTCATTAACCACCTTTTGCAATTTGGCAGTTTAGTTTGTTTAGTAAATGTTGTGTCATATGTTTTCATATTCCAGATGATGTCAGGTACTCAGAGTAGTCTCTGGAGCTGCTATTTTGAGAATATGTTTTAAGGTGATACAGTATTTAATCCATGAGATAAAAGTGTTTTCAAAGCCCCAAGATGCTCTAATTGACAGAGGTGTTGAGGAATTAATTAGTTATATAACACTTTGAACTGTTAACATCAAAGGTGTCCTATAGAATTAGAAGTTTGTCTTGACTATTTGGTCTAATTGCCTATTTTGTTACCGTATGTTTTCTCACTAAAAAAAAAAAAAAAAAAAAAAATCCATATATTTGACTGCTAATCCTTCTGTTGTCTTATTGCTAACCTGCAACTAAACATATCTAGAAGTGGCATAATTGTCTTGAGTATCTTTCAAATAGTGGCACTTTACCAAAAAAAAAAGGCAGGGGGAGGCTTTATCAGAAGCTAGGATCAAATATCTCAGCAGAAACGTTCACTGCTTAATTTTTCTTCTTCCCAGCAAATGTAGCACCTCATGGCAGTTCCTCATATTGTTGGTTATGGTGTGACTCCAGGGTATTTGCGACTGTGCCAATCACAAGAGATTGCAAAATAGGCATTCTTTTTCTACTTTAGGAATACAAATAAATGTTGACATCTCTCTGTACTTCATTGCAGAATATAGAGTAAAGGTAGCTATTATATGATATAACATTTTAAAAAATTCAATCTTTTCTCATAAAGAAGAGTAGAATTCAGTTAAATTTCTGCATGTGTAAAACATATTTCAGAAAGTGTTTTTTGTTTTTTCATCTGAGGTCAATGCATACAGTATTTCACAAGTAGGCATGAAGATACTGCTTGTGATAACCAGGTTTTAGCATTTTAAACAATATAGTTGTATATTTTAAAACAGATTACAGAAACAATTTTTTTTGTGTAAGGTTAGTGGGATCCAACACGTCTGGGCTTATGGGTATGTGATCTGGGCTGCTAAACTGGGTTGCTGAGATTACATTTAAAAAATTAACAATCATATTTCTTTTTCTTTGAGGTAAAGTTTAGAGTTTAATCTTTGTTTGAAGAATAGCAAACAATACTCTATATCATGAACTGTAGTTCCAGTTTTGTCTAACCTTCTTGAAATTATTTTGTTCTCGATAAAAGTCTATAAATGGTAGAAACAAAGTTTATCAACACCAATTTGAGGTTCCGTGGCTTACCAAGGTAAAAGTATGATCCTTCTATAAAAGGCTGCTAAAATTATTCCTTAATTTATTAAAACAAATATATTTTGAGAACTTAACTGTGTACTATAGGCTATTTTAATTGTTGGGGATTAATAGTGAGCTATAAATAGTCCCTGTTCTCTTGAAAATGACTTTCTTGTGTGGGAGGCAGATATTGTTCATTTGCAGAGATGTATAATTCCTAAATGTGAGGTGATTTTAAGAAAAAGTATAAGAGAATTTGACTCTGTGGTTTCCCTAGGAAAGTGACATTTGACCTTTAATCTGAAAGCTGGATAAGAGGTTTATGTTACTTATTCTTGGGTTGCTTATTTACAAGAACAAGCACATGAAAGGAATGGTATTAAATATCAATTTTTTTGGCCAATGTGTGTCAACAGTATCTTACAGTGAATGGCTTTGCTTTTGTCCAGGCGGAGCTGCGTTGGGTCAGAGCTGGTAGACTGGCTTCTAGAACACTGCCCTTTTGTCCAGTGCAGATCTATGGCGGTAGGGGTCTGGCAACTCCTACTGGACATGGGGATTCTGTCATCAGGTGAGTATTCTGTGTTGTGAAGGCACAGCTTCCTTATTTTACTCAGCTGTCATATCAAGGCATGCTTGATTTTTTAGAGGATGTTATGATCTGGATGGAAATTATTTTTGAAGGTAAATATTTATATTCTCTTTTATTTTTTAAGTAAAAGTGACAGGTCATCTTTTGATTCGCTTGCTTTTCTCACACCTTTTGCAAAAATAATCAGGTTCTTGTTGATTTATAGACTAATACCTGTAAGAGTCTCTCCCTTGCCCCCTTCCCTCTGAACTCAAAATGCTGCTCACAAACTTTTAAAAAAATCAGTGACATCTTCATTTGCTCTAAATGTGTGATTTATCTTGTTGTACTTAAAGTTATCATCAGAAACTGATTTTATGAGTGGAGTGTGCATGCCATTTTAATTGACTAAGTAATCGTGAACACTTAGAGATATGACCTATGAAAATTAGCTGTTTAAGCAGAGCAGAAATAGATGTTAACTAGGAACGAAAATAGATAGTGGGTATTTCTTTTCTTAGTGGAGCCCAGGGAATTGAAGGATTAGAAGTCAAGCAATCCGGGTTCTTTATTTAACTCAATCTCTCACGTTCTGGTTGGTGACTGAGAAGTCCTTTTTTTCTATAGGTAATAAATACAAGGGTATACCTCTGGTCCCATTGTGAATGAATAGTACAGATAGGAGGGTGAAGGTAATCTTCTTAGACAGTCAATAATATCTAACGCCTAATACTCTTATTTAGAAAATCAGCCAACTGTCTTTGAGGAATGGAGATATTATTAACTCACTTATTAGTTTCGGGCTTCTGGTTATCAAAAAGTTTTGTATTAATGCTTTTTGGAAAAATCTTTAGTTCTTTATTTCTTTAGAACAGAGTTTCCACAGAGCCCAGTCACATTTGTAATCCCAGCACTTTGGGAGTCTGAATTAGGAGGGCTGCTTGAGCCCAAGAGTTTGAGATTAGCCTGGACAATATAGCAAGACCTCGTCTCTACAAAAAATAAAAAAAAATTAGCTGGGCATGGTGGCGTGCACCTGTAGTCCCAGCTACTTGGGAAAGGCAGAAGGATTGCCTGAGCCCAGGAGGTCAAGGCTGAGGTGAACCATGATTGTGCCACTGTACTCTAGCCTGGGCGACAAAGTGCGGCATCAACTCAAAAAGTAAAAATGAAACAACAACAAAAAACAGATTTCCCAACCTTGTTAGTGCTAACATTTTGGGTTAGACAATTCTTTGTTGAAAAGGGCTGCCTCGTGTATTATAAGATTTTTAGCAGCAGTTGTTTCTTCCACACTCCAGATACTGGTAGCACCCCTTCAGTTGTGACAATCAAGAATACCTCTAGAAATTGCCAGATGGCCCCTGGGGAAGGCACAGTCACCTCCAGTTGGAAACCACTGATCTAAAACTTGCCATTGTGCTGTATTTGTGCACCACCAAAGTCATTAAGTATACTAGTTTGCTTTCAGACACTAAAAAAATGTTCTCCCGACCCTCTTTAGTTTCTATTTCATCTGCCCCGTCTCTGAAGAAGAAAGATTATAAAATACATGTTAATATGCTGGCCAATTCTTCAAGTAATAAAGATAGACTAGCCAGCAAGTCCTTTTCAATTCAATGGGATAATAAACATGAATGAGCTTAGAATATATAATTTAACAATATAGCCTTACCCTGACTTCTCCCTAATAATTATTAGAACTCTCAATTTATTATGTGATGTATTCCTCTGAATAATATACTATCCACACTTTCTTTGTTTCAAACAGTGGACCAGCATCTGTACTTTCAAGATACTTATGTTTTCTACCAGTTTTCCTCCGATGAATGTAGCTACTTGTGCTGTGAATTTGAAAGAGAAGAAGAATGGCAAAATGGTGTCAAGCTTTTACTGCAACTTGTGCCTCTCATTCCTGCTAGAGCAGGCATCTGTGAACTGTAAGTGCCATTGTTAAATTATTCTTACTCAGACAACATTGTGTCCAGGGACTGTGCTCTGCTCTTTAAGATCACTATCTCATTTAAGAGGTGGTTGTACTATTCCCATTTTTCAGATGCAAGTTCAGAAGGGTAAAATAAGCTGCTGCAAATTAAATCCAGCTCATAAACGATTGAACTGGTACTCAAAAGCTGCACCAGGCTGCTTTTAATTCATCATTGTTCCATGTGTAGAGATGATCTAAATTAGAATAAACATATGATTGGGCTAAAGTTGGAATAAAATAATAATTCACATCCCATCCACTATCCAAGTCGTGACTTTCCTAAGAAAGAGCTCAACAGAACATTTCTGAAAATAATCTAGAAGCAGCATTTGGCAAATTAAAACACGTGAATCATTATCACATGAAGATCCTGAATCACTGTATGATTAAAATGAATTAAAATTAATTAGAGGAGGCTTGGGAACAGGACTTGAGACAGGATATAGTTATTCTGACAGGGCTTTGCTTACCCATGGTGATAGCTTATTTCAGAATTAAGGGTTACAGATTAAAATTTCAGTTAAAAATATTTATAAATGTGGAACACTTCCATTTTCAGAACACTTTCCCATGTTGTTGACTCTTTCAGTTCCATAATATTAGCAGGACAATTGGTATTCTTACCAGTACAATTGGTATTCTTACCTACTACCTAGGTAAGAAAACAGGTTCAGAGAGAAACACCTGTATACCAGTAACGTCGGCAAATCTTAGTTAAAAAAAGATGATTAATATTGACCAGTTTAAATAAGTTTTAGGAAGCTAAATAACTTTCAGAATATCAGTGAGACACTGTTGCTAATAGAAAGGTTGATTGTAGAGAATATATTTTATGTCAGGCACTGTGCTGAATGCTTTGTATTTATGATTTCACTTCCAGAAGAGTTTTATAAGGCAAATATTGCTATTATTCCTATTTTATACATGAGGAAACTGAGGTACAGAGGTCAGGTAACCTGTCCAAGGTCATACAAGTGTCAAGTGAAGTCTTAGTGTTTGAATCTATGTGTGTCTTGCTGAAATAACCATGCTTTTAACACCTGCCATATGATGTCCTCAGAAGTCATAGGGTAATTCTAAGATCCCCTTCTATAAAATTATAAACAGAGCCAGGTAAAGCTCTCTCTTATAATCCCAGCACTTTGGAAGACTGAGGCAGGCAGGTTGTCCGACCCCCCAAGTTTGAGACCAGCCTGGACAACATAGCAAAACCTCATCTCGACAAAAAAAATCGGCCAGGCATGATGGCATGTGCTTATAGTCCCAGCTACTTGGGATGCTGAGGTGGAAGGATCACCTAAGTCCAGGAGGTCAAGGCTGCTGTGAGTTGTTGTCATGCCACTGTACTCCTGCTTGGGCGAGAGAGTGAGACCTTGACTCAAAAATAAATAAATAAATAAATAAACAAACAAACAGAAGCCATAAAAGTGTTAGACTGAACTCTGTTGAAATAGTTATGGCATTCCCACCACCATCGTGTATAGAAGACCTTGAATAACGGTAGAGCAAAATTCAACCATTAATGAATTAGTCTGAGTATAAAAAATGCTCTTTAATATGCTATGCCCTTAATATAGGTCAGAAATATCCTGAAAAAGTTGAGGAGCTGTTCAAGGACCTTTTAACAAACTTTCTAAGAAGGAGTGATGTGTTTTTAAACTAGATGTGGCTGTGACTGGCTGTGATTCTGTGGGACTGGATTTCTCTCATAGCTTTCTCGGCCACATTCTGTCCTGCATACAAGGTGGAGGTGTGCACAGTGCCAGGGGACTCCCAGATTCACAGGGACTTCAGGGCAGCAGAAATAAACTTGCCGGCCGTGCTTGTGATTTGACTCCATTGCCTTCTTCCCTGCTCAGAAGGTGAACTGGAATGCCGAGGAGAGGACCTTGCTTTAGGGAAACCCTGAGTGTACTCTAACTTCTAAGGTTGAAACTATTGAAAAAATTTGCATCCTGATATGAACTCCATATTACCTGGGACTATTGTCACACTGAACACAAATGTCATACTCTGGAGTTGAGAAATACTGTAGCATGTCTTGTTTTGTGAGCTAGCTTTTTTTCTGTTGGTGTGAACATGTGCATTTGGAAAGGTAACTGAACCGACAGAAAAATTGTCATTGGGGACCTATGGACCTGCCCGTTCCTTATTCTAAGTACTGTATCTAAAAAGATATAATTATTGAGCCACTGTGATCTCTTTTGGAGAGAGGAATACTCCCCCTTCCCCCATATTAGAGTTATAAGCCAACTTCTATGTTATGGTAGAATGTTTTTGGCTAAATTTTGCAAAGCTAAGTCTTGGTTTATAGAGATGGGAATAAATTATATTCAGAGAAAAGATGTCCAGGGACATTGTCCTCATTCAGTTACGCTGTCACAACCCTTTCTACAATTGCATATACATCATTCCATCATAACTTCTGCTGCCATCTGGTAATATCCATTGTTTTAGCTCCCAGCCCACACTCCTTCAGACCCTGACATACACTGGTGTGACACTCTTGGTCATTCTTCTGCCTTTCTTTCCTTGTCCAAATTCTACTCAACCCCCAAGGGAAGCCCAGGTGCTACCTTGACCACAAAACTCACATGATGTCTCCAGTCCATGTGGATAGTGATTTCAATAACATACTCTTCTTGTTATTTGTATTTTTTCAAAGTTTCATTCTTCAAGGTCATTCTTAGTCCAGTGTTGCTTCATTCTTATCCATTCTACTGAAATGCCCTCTTAAGTCCTCTTGCTTCTTACCTTGTCCACTCATGAGCTGACAGCCCGATCCTGTACTCTTTTCAATAACCTTTCTGTTACTTGAAGACCATTAAGATTTGCCTATGTGGTTCTATATTAGACCTCTCTAATTTGCTTTCTTCTCTGTGAGTGTCTTTAAAATAATGCAAGGAAATCACTTGACATCTCTATGTAAACATAATTCTGTACAGTCCAAATGCATTTTTAGAAAGGAAGAAGTAGAGGGGATTTTATCATTTTAAAAAGCATGTTTAAAGCAGAGGGGGAAATGACACTGCCACAGGTTTCCAGGCTAGCTTGAGGAAACAGAAGTCCTGGTCTGTACAGAATATTTTTATGCCTACATTGAACAGATAATTAGAAAAAAGTTACTGAATCGGTTGTTAAGGGTACTATCTCTGGGGGAAAAAGAACAGTCATGGTATTTCATTCTGACTGAAAGCCAAGTCAAGTTCTCCAGAAGGTGCTTTTTCTAACTCTTTTAGTTTGGGAATAGGATGAGGGGAGAGTCAGTGAGGAATGACGGAGTAACAGTGTAGGTAAAGGCAGCCGGGCAATTCCCTTGGGACCAGGAAGATATTTCTCACTTGTTTGGGCTTTTGGGCTTGAAAAAGTGCGGCTGTTCCTTTCAGCTGTGATCATAGCAGCTCCTACTCGCCAGGAGTAGGAGTGCTTGGGCTCTGAATAGACTGTCGATGAACCCTGAACATGTAAAACTGTATCCTGCCACTGACAGGATAATTAACATGGATGCTGTTTATGAGAGACTTGTAGAGGACGGCTAACATTTAACTCAGGCTACACTCTGTTATGTAAAGAGAGATGTAGCTTCTTTGTTTTTTTCCCAAGTGACCTGATGCTTGTCTCCATGAGTCTCTTGTTCTTCTGGGTAGCCAAAAAGAAGCCCCGCGGTTTTCACGTAATCCAGTAAAATGATTCTAATATAGTAATATTAAATGTTTCCTTAGTTTAGCATATTTTGGCAAAAGAGATGACTCTGTGTCTCTTTGCACTCCTTAAGATAGCCTCTGGATACATGGTGAGTGCGTAGGCTCCTTGGAGGACTTGGGAGACTCTTGTCAGAGTAGACACTTTTTCATCCTCACTGGTCTTGCCTAGTGGAGGGACAGTGAGCCCTCTAGTGGCCCCTGAGGTGTAACTGGTGTCGGCATTCTGTTGGTGTTGGCTTTTGGAACCTGCAGCTGGTGTAAGTTAGGGTCTCCCTCTCTCCCTCTCTCCCCCTCTCCTTCTCTCCCTCTC